ATATATATATATATATATATATATATATATATATATATACTGTTCATTTATTTCTGAATGTTGAAGTAAGATTAGGCTGGTCCATGTTGGGCGATTCAGCCTTGACTGCAAAGAGACAGTCAGAGGTATGTAAAGTCACAAACCTTCAAAGGGACAGTTTAGAAGTTGAGTTCCCTAAAAAGATTGTAAACAAATCGCATCTTACGTGTTATAGATAGCTCTTTGAATGATCTCAGTTTGGAGAAATAAAGTTTAACTTTTACTGGACTGATGGGACCATGACCAAAGATAAGTACTTCCGTATTAAAACAGCTCCAGTCTGAAAAATGTCATACAGCTCATGGGAATGCCATTTCATAAATTTTACAACACGGTCAGATTTGCATTCCAGTGTTATTTCAAAATAAATATAATGATATTCCTGCCATTAATGCTACATGCTGAGCTGGAAAGTACCACAGCTAGCTACTGCATCTATTTGCAATTGAATATAGTTATAAAATTCAATGAAAATAACAAACATCAATGTGAAAGTTTATGAACAGCTTTACAAATTATCTGCTATGAAATGTACGGGTATGGAGTTGTTTTAAGACAACAGTAATACTTTGGTCCTTGCTCCACTTGGACTACTAGATAATGCCTTCTCAGTCTAGTCAGAAACATTTTCTAAATGAGATCCATTAAAGAGCTATCTACAACAGGTAAGATACTAACTGTTCATAATCTCTCCACAAGACCCCATTTCAAATGATTTGATAAAATTGGTTCAAGCTGCAGTTTAGAATAATTTAAATTTTGTTTAAGAAATCAAAGCATGGTGTTTGTAGGGGGAAACATCTATTTAAAGCATTTAACATTCTGGATTTACCCTCAGAGTTATAATTTGTAACACCAACCAGTAATGACTCAGTTCGGTCAGCTCCCAATGCAGCCACCTCTCCATTACGGTGCCAACATAACCTATAAAGGTTTCTGAAAATAAATATCCTCTGTTGCCTCCTTGCAGACAAATACTGATTGTGTGTGTGCAACATCAGCTTACACAGTGAAGTGTAGGAGACAAATCTTATTACCAGTTTTGATGGGAAACACATGATTCCACTCAAAACATAATCATCCGGGAGGAAAGAGCTAACACAAAATGTACTCTACAGAGGAGGAGAATAGGAGACAACCACATCAACAACGACAGCAGCAGCAGAAGCAACAGTCACTACTACCAAAACAGTGGGACAACAACAGGAGTGATGCATAACCTCCCCGTACTGGTGCTTGTTGTGGGGCTTCTATCACTCTCTCATGCACCTGTTCCAATAGTAAGCCAGTAAAAGGTGGCACTATTGCTGTGCAGTGGTTCATGCAGTGCAGTGCGTCGTGTCTGTACCAGGTCTGTGAAGCAGGCAGCAATGGCAGCCGGTTGTGGGCGGGTCCGAGCCTGGCCATCCAGGTGGGTGTAGCCAGCCATGCCACAAAGGCTGCAGGCACCAAAAAGGTCCTGGCTTCTCTCTGCCTCGCTCTCACCACTCCATTTAAAGGCCCAGCCTCAAACGCATTGGGAAAAACAAACCATGGAAGTGATGAGAGGACGACAACTGCGGACCTGATCACTGTGGGTTTGGCTCAGCCTTTGTGCAATGAACTGACCTCCTCCAAGTTTTACAAGTCAACATGCAGACATGTTTTGGCTCTTTAGCTGTTTATTATTTTTTTCTTTCATTTTGCTTTTTGTGTGATGCATTTTTTTTTAATATTGCATGCTTCGGTGGCTGCAGGATTATAGCTCTAATTTAGTTCATAGGTCTGGTTAGAATAAAGTTTGTAACACCCCCACTGCTCGAGACAGCAGGTTGATCAGCATTAGACTAATGCTTAAAATACATTTCCTCTCCTCTTGAAGATCTCTACTCAAAGTTAAGATTTTAACTGATCGTTTAAAGAGTTTATAAGGTCCCTTCCCTTCTGCTTTGGAATAATCTCATGCATGTCAAGCACTGAGCTCTGCCCCTCCAATCAGTTTGAGGTTCTGCTACAAATGCACAAACCTCCCCCAGTATCTTAAATAAAAACCCTCCTATTTAAATGAACCATCCACATTTAGCAGAGAACGACCAGATCTTCGGGAACCAGCACTTCAGGAAAGCATGTGCTCTCCTCAAGTGCACCTGAACACGTTTTGTGTTGTCCGCTCAGGAGCCATATTCTGTAGCAGGAGCTCAAACCCTGGTGTCTAGAAGCAGCAGGGATGCTAGAGTTACAGCAGGAGAGACATGCGGCGTGTTGCTTACTTAAAGCCCCATCCAGTCCCCCCCAGCACTATGGCAGCCACAAGGATGGCTCCGGCGATGGAGCCTATTATTAGATTGGTGGCACTAGGACCTGTGAAGGGTTATGGGGGAAAAAGACATGAGCTTCTAGACTCACTTACTGTAATAACATGTAGCTACACAATAATGATTTCACATGGAACAGAAAACATAACATAAGAGGTTACAGTTAATCTGAAAGACTGCTTTGCATGCTTTCCAGTCCCCTTTAATGTGTGAAGTGGATTTGAGTGTTATCAGTCCAACGCCATGAAAATATTTACACTCATCTAATGTCAGTTTAGGTAGGGATTATTATAGGTTTGTCTGTTAAAGGGATAGTTTGAACTTTTAAAAGTGGTGTTCTGTGGAGTTATATTTAATCAATGTTAAATTTACTGTAAAAATTACTAGAAGCATTATCATTTTGGGGAAGATCAGGTGAAACGTATCTATTAGAGACAAGGCAAGTTTCTGCTATTTTATAAAAACGCTAATCTCAAAAATGTCAATTCGTGTGAACGCTATTTTAAAGATTTTTACACTTTTATCAGTTTTGCATTACTCAGTTATTTCAGCAGAATTATTATCGCATCCCTGCAGGAAGTGCTACATCTCACAGCTGATGCAGCAATTTAGGACAACAGCAATCAGCTCTGATATCGGCCCTGGTGAGACTAGCTATTAGCTCATCAACCTGATCAAAATTAAACCCTGTTCCTCTAAGTTGGGGTTTTTCAAAAAGTCATCTACAGCAGGTAAGACGTTAATTGTTCATACCTTTTCTACTGAAAACCACTTCAAAAGATCTAAACTATCGCTTTGAGGTTGTCCAAACGATCTGATCCTGAGCATCCATTACTAAAAAAGTTTATTCAAACAGAGATTGACACTGGTTGGTTGCAGTCCAAAATGGTTTTTGGGGGGGTCCCAGTCACCACACAGCCTCCAACTGATGGACAAGTCAGGTAACTAACTGGACACTTTGCAGGACTGTTTTCATCTAAATGCCCCACATGCCCCAGAAAGGAGAGGATCACAGGAGCAACCACATGACAACTAAGAGTAAAGAGAGAGAAAGGGGGTCAAGAAGAGGGAGAGAGAGGATGAAGTAAGAGATGATGAGGAACAACAGCAAGTGGCTGAAGAAGAAGAGGAAGGAAGGGGTGACAATCTGTCCATCAACCACACAACACCAAAAACATTCAATCACATGACAATTATATGGTCATCACCAACACACAAGAAAACACAAAGCCACCGGGACGCACACACGGGCTCAGGCCGGCTCACGAGACCGCCCGCACACTGAGGCACCACTATGAGAGGAAGAGCTGTGAAAGGGTTAAAGATGCTTACTCTATTCCCCACCCTGTGCCTCCAAAAATCACCCCCAGGGCCAGAATGGTCCCTGCTACTGCCCCTATCAGCCTGTTAGTAGCCACGCTCACTGTGCAGAGGGAAAAGGAGCATTATTACCACCCTGTCACAAACAAACAGCAGGCTTCTGGATGAAGGCAATCCCTCAACGGCGTCTCCACCTTCTTCTCAGAGAACCTCGTGTTCACTTGAACTGAGTTCATCTTCTGTTCAGAATCAAATTAAACAACTGTTTCTATATCTCGTCTAAACCTGTCTCACATTGGAAGGCTATAAAACCCCGTACGCCTGGAAAATTTCTGTCTCAGGAAATCCAGATTTTAACATCATATGTGTTTTATCAGTTGTTACTAAACTAAATAATGATTATTAACTTCTCTTTCTTTTTTTTTATGACACCAGAGGCTGACAGAGGTTGAAACCGACCCTTAGGTTCTTCTTCCGGTGTGACGTCGGGCACTTTGGGTGGGTCAGGCATGCTGCAGTCTGTCCCGGCCCAGGTGGTGTCGCAGGTGCAAGTGGCTTCATTGTTGCACACCTGAATGGAAAAAAAAGAGTCAAAGCTTCTATTCATAAATGTGCTTAAATATCAATTTTGAGAAACTTAACGTTCAAATGTGATGCTATCAGTTTTCAGCTTTACATTAATTTATTAAATAAAAATCCATTTACGTATTTTACGTATTTTTCTGGCATATATGTCGCTGTTTTTTGCATAGATTTGCCAGTCCTGCGACTTATACACCAAAACGACTTATATACGTTTTTTTCCATATTCATAACGCAATTTTTGACTGATGATTTAAATGTTCATTCATACTGACATGAACCAGTGTAAACATTACCATTTGCAGTCGCTAGAGGCGTGAGAGGGCCCTCTAGGCTTTTGACAACTATCGGTAGGCGTATATGTTGTTCCTGTACCGCCACCCCTGCCACCTCTGCCAAACATTGACCATTAAAGTGCATTTATTAAGGAAAATGTTAAACTGAGACACACTTTGCTATAATGTCCAACAAACAAATAATTGTTTTTAAGTGTTAATATATGAATGCGACTTATACGCCAACGTGACTTACTGTATTTTCTGGCAGACACGTCGCACCGCCCTATAAGTTGCATCAGTCCATATTTGTCTAATAAAATGGAAGAAAAACATAAATATGTCGCTTCGCTGTATACGTCGCATCTACTACGCGTCACCGCTGACAACCCAGAAATGTGGACCGGAGTTGTGCCAAAAAACGATGGGCTGCCAAACGGCGGCCGCGGGAGCGTGCACGGGAGGACTTTAACAAGAATTTAACAAAATTAACACTTAAAAACAATAATTTGTTTGCTTGAAATTATAGCAAAGGTGTGTCTCTGTCTAACTTTTGCTTAATAAATGCACTTTGACGGTCAAATCAGCTGCATTTCAAAACCCGATTCACGGAAGCGGCGGGCACACGCAGAGGGATGAGCCTCCACATTTCTTTGAAATTTAACAAGATAAACACCAAAAAACAATTTCTTGTTTGCTCAAAATTATAGTAAATGTGTGTTTCCATCTATCCATCCATTTTCTTTACCCGCTTTATCCACTTTGGATCACGGGGGTCGCTGGTGCCCATGTCCAGCAATCACTGTGCGAGGGGCGGGGTACACCCTGGACGGGTCGCAAGTCCATCACAGGGCCACATAGAGACAAACGAGACAAACAACCATTCACTCTCTCACTCACACCTAGGGACAATTTAGAGTTACCAATCAGCCTAACATGCATGTTTTTAGACTGTGGGAGGAAACCGGAGCACCCAGAGAAAACCCACGCATGCACGGAGAGACCATACAAACTCCACCCAGAAAGGCCCCTGGACCGGGGTTTGAACCAGGGACCTGCTCGCTGAGAGGCAGCAGCTCTACCAGTTACGCCACCGTGCTGCCCTGTTTCCATCTAGCTTTTGATTAAAAAATACACATTGACAGTCAAATCAGCTGTATTTCAAAAGCGGATATGCGGAAGTAAATGTGTGCACGTGATGAGTCGCAGCGCAAATTTATCAGGATAGTCACCTAAAAACAATTATTTGTTTGCTCAAAATTAAAGCAAAGGTGTGTCTCAGATGAACGTTTGCCTAATAAATGCACTTTAATGGTCAAATTAGCTGCATTTCATTGGGGCGGTGCAGCTGGTTTAACTTTCTCCAAGCAACGAGCAGAATGAAGGTAGGGAGGCTACGGCAGACCGATTGTGTCATTAATAGCTGGTGAAGATTCTCAGTCATCCAGGACATGGTAAATCCAAAAAGTTCAAGAAAAAAACATAAAGTATAAAGTAAAGTATAATAAATAAAGTCCAGTTGTTTTTGTCTTGAACTTTTTTTAATTTGTCATTATAGCCACGTTTACCTATTACATGCCACAATGGAATGCCTTACTGCTACTACTACTCTGCTGCCTCCTAATGGCTGAAAATGGTACTGTTCAATTTTTTTTACTACTCTGCTGCCATCAAGTGGCTGAAAGTGGTACTGCTCAAATTTTTTTCCCAGTCAGAATGAATGAAAACAGTCATATCTCAGCCAAAAATTTGTTTATAAAAATGGGGAAACAATCCATAAATACGTTGCTTTGGCCTATAAGTCGCAGGACATGTAAATTATGCACAAAACTGCGACTTGTATGCCGGAAAATATGGTATATATGTTTTTTTTTCTTCTTCGTGATGCTTTTTTGAACTCATGCGACTTATACGCCTGAAAATACAGTATTAAAGTCGCAGGTTGTACGATTCTCAAAAAATATACTCACCCCATGGTCAGAGCACACCTGCCCATTGGGTCCAATGGGGCAAGAGCTCATGTTGAGCGACTGGATGGGCAGACACTTGTGGTCAAGGCACATCATGGACGGCCCACAGGGAGTCCCATCCTCCACGTAGCCTAAATCAGTCTCATCGTCCAAAAGGATGTGGGCACCACTGATAGCAACAGATGAGGGTGGAAGGAGGAGGGAATCAAGGATTATAGGGAAACTAAACTACAAAATGCACCCTGGTATAAATTTGTAGCGATGCACAAAGAAATCAGCAGGCTCGGATTGTTTTTGGATTGACGATCAGCTAACCAGCATTCTAAAATTCAAAGTTTTTCCAGTCAGTAAATACACTGCTTGTGTATTGTATAAAATCAGTATTGTCTGGTAGGAGCTGTGCAAGAACTGGAAATGTGTTACCAGTCCGCAAAACTGAAATCTGTGCATCTTTATAAATGTGTCCTTATTAACAGGTGTTATAGTAAAGCGAAAGTGTTTACGTGCACTGGATCACGTTGCCTTGGTGATTGAAGGAGGTGGGGGTAATGTCTCCTTTCATCATTCCGATGCGTGGGATTCGTCCCACGTTAGTGCACAAAAGATAACCACAGAACACATCGCTGCAACAAAACAGAAAAGAGACACCCCTCTTTAATCTTGTGCATGGTTTGTCTCATCATATCTTATATTATATTATATATTATACTGAGAGGTGTTTGTTAAAAAAGCATGTTGGAAGACAGTAATTATAATAAAACACAATTTTATCTCTTCCCTACACCTGATCTGACAGAAGTGTAACAGTTTTGACTGATCTTTTTAGAAACGTATCCTTGATCACATTTTAACATTTTTGGTTTTGTTCTGTAAGATCTAATTGTGTTAACAGGATGCATTGTTTTGTTTAGGAACAAGTATCCAGTTATGATATGACACAGATCATATGATCCTTGTGTTGGTATGTTTGATTTTTGTCTTTATTGTATGAACTTCTTATTTAGTCATGATTCTCCTTAGTTTACATTGAGAACACTTGTGTTCACCAAGTTTTCTGTTAGTTTCCTCTTTTGCCATTTTTTCTTGTTTCCTTCAGTCACTCCTGCCTCCTGCTTTTCATTACTCACCTGCCCATCATTCACTATCATTCCAGCTGCATCCATTTAGTCATCAACCCTCCCAACATATGTTTTTGCTTCCTGCTCACTTTTGCTTCCTGTTTTGCACGTTCTGTTTCTCAATTCTGCATCCTGTTTCCAGTCATCTTATTTTATGTTTTGCTGTTTTCTGCCACATTCGTCTCTTTTTTTGTTAAAAGCCTTTAATTATTAAGTCCTGGTCCAACAAGCCTGCCCCCTGGGTTCTCTATATACCAATTTATAATCATATTTATCGTGAACACATAAAAACAGATTAACTCCTTTAAGCATTTAGTATCTCCTACGTGACAATCCCTACGTTTATGTAGATGTGTAGCACTGAAAAGAAAGGGGAAATAAGGGAGATTGAAAAAAGGTCGTGTGTTTTAAATGATATTTTATATTAAAAAAACAATGTAAGCAACATTGCACCAAGTTGAAAGAACAATCAACAAAAATAGAAATAATATATCCAGTCCTGGGGTTTTGTTGATTGTTCTTTAAAGTGAAACATCTTCTGTTGCCCTTTTTAGGATTGTTTTAAATGAACCAAAACCCAAGTTGGAGTTTTCTTTAAATCCAGACTAATTTGCACATTTTATCTTTAAACATATAAGAATGCGAGCGAGCCTGACTAAAAAGTATAATTCTCTCCAGGAAAAGCTGTTTAATGTACTATTTAAGCCTAAACCCGAGTCTCTGAGCAGCAACTTCATGCTGCAGGTGATGTAACGTCCATTATGGCTTTAATCTGTGACTCACTGTTTGCTACATTGGAGCCATTTGTCTCCATCTCTTCCACAGTTGCCTTTTTCTGTCCCTTCAGTGTTCAGCTTCTCATAGCAGAACTTCTCTGAGCCTCCAGCCTCTGAAACAAAAAAGCACAAAGATGAACTTTTAGAAAATGAATGATAAAAATCCTCTTTTTTTTTTCCAGACGCTGTTCAAAATCAGCTGAAATGTTCTGTGATTCAGCACGTTAAAAACATTCAGGAACAAAATCTGAAATTTAGGTTCAGCAGTCGACAAACTATTTAATCACTGAATCGTTTAAATCGTTATAGTAAACAGACGCACATAGTTTCAGCGTGTAAAAAGATTGGTGCGGTAACAAAAGCTAATTTTAAATCCTGGAGGGGAAAAGCTACAATTTAGACTTGTTCTGGCTTTGAGGCGACGTAACCTTTGCCTTGAGGGAGGAGGGTGAACAGTTCGTATGCCAGGTGGGTGGGGTCGCTCTCAACACTTCAAACTCTGCCTCTACACTCGTCGACATAAATGTCTTCCAAGAAAAGTAGACTCCTGTTGGCTATTTTCATTTTTTTTAGCAGATATAACCACTTGTTGCTGCATTCTAACACAGAATGGCTGAGGTCTTGCTGACTACAAACGATCACTGTGTGTGAGTGAAAATGGTTGTGTGTCTCTGTGACAGACATATGTGGATACTCACATAGTGGGCCAACCAGTTTTATGGTGATAAGATGGTTTCTGGATTTTTCTACCTGGATTATTGTACAAGAACTTTGATGTTTTGAACCACTTTGGCTATGGCTGCCTCAGACGAGTCGACGGGGGAGAGGGCGGACTCCAAAAACCATCTTATCACCATAAAACTGGTTATCCCTCTATGTGAGTAAGCCACTTATGGGATTAAGTTTGTTGTGGCTCCTCGGTCTGATGAAGTTCTTTGGATGAAGAAGGAAATGTTTCAACAAAAAAAAAAAAAGAAACCGTCCAGAGGACCTGACGACTTTGTTGGATTCTTTTTTTTACCTGGATTATTGAGCATGAACTTTGATCTTTGTCCAGTGAGTTTGTTTAATGTGGAAACCTTACATAATAATCTCCATTGTCCAGTTCCATATGAACAAAGTGAATGACAACTGCACTGCTTCAGACACAGACCAGTTTTTCCTAAAGGCATACTGAAGGTGGTTTCCACTAACATTGTTATTCTTTATGTACACAAAACTCAACAAAAATAGCTGGTTTTATCACATACAGACTCGCCCCATGCATCAATAATGTAAACCAAAAGTGTTTCTCTTACTTGATCCCCAGATGTATTTACACTGGTTCTCTCTGGTTTTGCACTCTCCGTTGTAACATCGACCCTTTAAAAAATATTAAAAGTGAGAAAAGGAGGTGAATTTAAATTCTCAGCTGTCTATTCTTAAACTAGTCGCTGCATAATCAAGCAAAAGCCTTTTATTTCCCATACCTGGTTTACCTGACAGAAGTAACCATCTTGCTTATGTAGGTTGGGAGGACACTGAAAAGTCATAACATCGTCTTAACAACCTTCTGTAACATTTTACAATGCGAAGACCAAAAAAGAGAAAGCGTGGAACATACCTGTCCGGAGTCTCCAGAGCACGTCTCTGAGATGTCACAATCGTTCACAGCGAAGCGACAGCTGTAACCTCGTGGGTAGAACTGGCAAGAGAAGGAGAAAAGTTTCAAGATGGTAGAAAAAAAAACACGCTCATAATATAATTTGAAATTGAGCTCGTACCAGACATGTATGATTGCAGCAAGGTCCATCGCTGCAGTGCGCCCCATTGGCGAGGGAGCATTTCTTGCAGCATTCCTTGTAGCAGTCCTGAAATACAGAGACTACATCTCACCTGTCTAAACAAACAGGATGACAGCGATAAAAAGAGATACTCACTGCTCTCAGTCCACAGTCACACTCCTCTCCCACTTCTACAAAGCCGTTCCCACAGTGTGCCACCTCAAACAGCTGCCGCGAGAAAACAACGCAGCGTTAAGGGCAACGTGTGGTTTACGAATACGCCTGTCACGATAACAAATTTTGCTGGGCGATTAATTGTCTCAGAAATTATTGCGATAAACGATAATATTGTTCGAAATTTGACAATAATTAGTAATTATTGTCAAATTTAAGAAGAAATGTTGATTTGTTTTAAGTGTAGTACCTATTTTAGACCACCAGACGCCAGTATAAGACTGTTTGAACCGAAGGCTGGATAGTGAGGGAGCGAGCAGCGTGTCTCTTTAAGAAAAATGGGAGGGAGGCCACTTGACATGACATGGGCTGTCTCTCTTTCCTTTTTTTTTGGTTCTCAAAATGGCAGACGCTCAGTGTGGTTTGAGCTCTTTAGCATTGCATTTGTCACACAAAGCTTTTAATAAAAAATCAGTAAACGAGTTCTCAACTTTTTTTTGCAGAGAAAAACAACTTTTTACACGAAGGCTTTGAGCTTCAACAAGACGGAGGCTTTTTTCCCCGAGGTTGGCCTGTTAGCTTAGCTCATAGCTTAGCTTCTCAGCTTAGCTGCTTTTAATTGTCCAAAAACACGATTTTGGACAGTTAAAATGAATTTTAAAGAGAAAAGAGTAAGAGAGGGGTCCGTGAAGAGCACCGGAGTTGAACTTTTTGTCATCCAGTGTCTTCAGTAGAAAGAGAGAGACACGAAGAAACAATAAAGCCGATAAATGAAAATGAGGTCAATCATTTTCATTTATCATGCGATTAATTGATTTATTGTTTATCGTGACAGGCCTATTTATGACAGCTGTAATCAGTGAAGAAGAGCTGTGAACATCTGACCTTAGTTGGCCTGTTAAACAGACACGAGCCTCCACCTTTGAGGAGGAACTCCTTGTAGTCGGAGATGCTGCATTTGGAGAATTTCTGCGGGTGTTGGACACTAGTGAGACAGAGCATAAAACAAGTCATTAAAGATGAGTCCATGGATCTCCATAAAAATGTTCATCCTCTTGGTGTTATTGTCCTTTTAGTTTCATGCTTTTTATTTATCGATGTTGAACCACAATATAGCAACAAATCTTTAAGGATTACAGAATAGTGAAAACTTAGGACACTCATGGAAATAGTTTATTAAATGAAACCTGATAGACTCTTTTAAACTTTTAGCTTGGTCAGGCTCATATGGTCTGTGTTGTAAAAAGACAGTTCTGATCACGAGCTTGCACCTGTTCATATATCAGCACGGTTTCTTAACATTTAGTATTTTTCAGATGTGCAGCTGCACGCTCAATTGCTTGGCTTTCAAAATGTGGCTTTAATTATTTTAACACGTGAAATTTCTTGAAAAAAAAACTCAAAACATGGACTCATCTGCAGTAAATTATGCTAATTTAAATGGTCTAAGCCAAAAGATGGGATTCAGTAACGGACATTTATGAGGTAAAACAAACAGAAGTATATTTTAAACACAAAGGCTTGTTGTTTCATTATTTTCCCACTTTCCCCTCTCTTCTTGTGTTTGCATGTTTGTCTTTGTTGGACTTTACCCCGTGTCCTCCATGATGCAGCCCGTCCACAAGTTAGCACAGCCACATTCTTCTGCAAGAGGAGAGCAGAACAAACACTGGTTTGGAAAAGAGGCAGTGGATCAAGTGCCAGGTATCGAAGGCATTTTGCTGAGCAGCCAAGAAATCTTCCGCCCTGTATTTATTTATTTAATTTTTTTCTTCTTCACTCGTGCAAACTAAACCTGAAGCAGCTTTTGGGAGTTGCTTTGCTGACATGTTTTTAAGATATCATTTTCTAACTTGTCGGGTGTTTTATGACCCCGCTTCCTCCAGGATACTAATCCTAAATCTAATGGAAGATTTTGGAATAAATAGATTTTGGAATAAATGTTCAAGACAATCGACCTGTTTATCGTTTCATCCTGTGAACCAAAAGAAAAAGTTTGCTCAAATGCAAAAAAATAAAACATGCACCCTCTGCTGTTTTTCCTTACAGGCACACACACACACACACACACACACACATTTCAGCACGATGAGTGCATTTGTTAAAGCTGCATCTGTAGCACATAAACCTTAACCTCGCCACATTTTACCTCTGTACTTTACACACAAAAATCAATGTGCCACAGAAGTGCAGCACAATTCCCAACGTGCGCTCCGAACGCTAAGTGACTGCACAAGATCTGGTTTTAAAACATTGCCAGGAGCTGTTAGAATAAACTGCTCATGTCTGTTAGCAAAATACCATGACCCGCTGGATGGACGTTAACAAAGCTCTCAGAAAGTAATCATTGGGTGTACGTCTAGAACTAATTAATCTTTGGGGCCAACGCAGTTCAGTTCACCTTAGAAAACACAAAAATAGCTGTAACTCGGTCAGTTTTACAGCTGAGGGTCATTCACAGCACATTTCAGAGTCCAAACAGATTGCAAAAAAATCTTATATCATGTGATTGTGCATAATGTTAGTTTCAATATTTGTTGCTAAAACTTTATAAACTATGAACATAAGATAAACTGTTTGAAACTTCAGAGTCAGTCAGAGTCAGAGTTTCTTTATTATCATTTGCACCACGTGGTACATGTGGTGGAACAAGATTGTGTACACAGGGTCCCAGTTACATCCCACAATAAAATGTAAAAGAAAAACAGTAATAAGATCTAAGATATTTCTGGCATGAAGAGCAGAAGGTAATATGCATTTACTCAAAGAATTCTAATGTATTTTTCACCCTAAGTCACAGTTTTGTTGCATAATTTGTATGCCCTGCGACTTACAAGCCAAAGCGACGTATTTATGGCTTTTTCCTCATATTTAAAAACCAATTTTGGGCTGAGATATGACAGTTTTCATTCATTCTGACTGAAAATATTGAACACTATCATTTTCATCCTCTAGATGGCGCTCCAGGTATATGGCATGCTGTTGTATCATGTAATAGGTAAAAGTGGCTATTAATGACACAATCGGCTTGCCGTAAACTGACACCGTCGTCTGCTTGGAGCAACCGAATCAGCTTCATTTCACTGCGCCGCCCAGGCGAAATGAAGCTGATTTGACTGTCAGAGTAATTTATTAAGGAAAAGGTCAACTGAGACACACTTTTACTTAAGTCGAGCTAACAAATAAATATTTTAGGTGCTTATCTTGTTACATTTCGAAGAAATGCATAGCGAGTCACCCTCTGTGCGCTCATGTTTCTGCGAAGCGGGTTTTGAAATGCAGCTGATTTGACCGTCAAAGTGCATTTATTAAGTAAATGTTCAACTGAGACACATCTTTACTATAATTTCGAGCAAACAAATAATTGTTTTTAAGTGTTAATCTTGTTACATTCTCGTTAAAATCCTCCCATGCACGCAGCCGCCATTTGTCAGCCAGTCGATTTTTGGCACAACACCGGCCAACATTTCCGGGTTGTCAGCGGTGACACGTAACAAACGCGGCGCATCAGTGGTGACGAATAATAGATGCAACGTATTTATGGATGTTTCCATTTTATTAGATATATTTGGACTGATGCGACTTATAGGGCGGTGCGACGTGTACAGCGGAAAATAAAGTATTTATTTTATTAATGATTTCATGTTTAGACCAAGTGGAACATATATCCAGATATACGGCCCACAGGCCACTGCGGTGATGATCAGTTTCCAAACATATTACAGGCCGTAACAAATGCATGTCTGACCCCGATCCACCTGTCGCTGCTACCACTTTTAGCTGTGAGTTAACAAAATGCGCTTCATACTTCTCTTGGCTGCAGGGTCCCATTGAATCCCCAGGTTCTGAGCAAGGCTCTGGGACACAGACACTACCATGGATGGGGTGGAGCCGTACTGTGGACACGACAGAAACCACAGATTATTTACCTGCAGCGAAACATGTCGTCACGCTGCAAATCTGACAGTAAATCTGACCTCGTTGACCCCCACACCTCGGCTCACAGAGCACAGGCCTCCGAAGTACGCAGCGCTGCTTGTGCGGTAGTGAAAGGTGGCATTTCTGCAAAGATGCACTAAAGTTAAAAAATAACAACACTGAGGATAAAAATATTAACCGCAGTTCATGTCTGGTTGGCAAAGACGCCAGCGCAATGACAACAAAACATTGCTGTGAGCAAAGAATTGTCCTCAATACAAAGGAAGTGCAACAAATTACCTACAAAGGGGAAAATATTAGTCTGGGGCACCTCATATTTAAATCAACTAAATTAAATTAACTAAGCATACAAGATTTATACGGTGATTATGCACGCACAAGCTCTCTGAGATTATGCTTTAACCCAGCAGGTTTTACATTTTTAATGGTCACATGAAATCAAAGTGCAATAAAGCGAGGGGCCTACGAGAGGAGCTGCACGGAGTCGGCATGCAGTTTGATGCTCTGCTGTCGATACTTGGAGAAATCTCGCAGCATCTCCAGCGGCTTCATGCTGATGGGGATCTGATCCTTGTCGGTCCAGATCTCTAAAGCAACGAGCACCACACGTGTGTGCAGCTGGTCCTTGAAGATCTGCCATTGAATAGAAGCAATAAAAACAGACACAGTGAAAGAGAGAAAGAGAGAAAGTGAGAAAACGACAGGTGCACTGAGGTGGACATTTGAAGGGATGCAGGACTTTTGGAGCCGGGGGTGGGCGGAGATAACAAGAACACGATAAAGCAGAACCTCATCCTGCTTGTGACATCATGTTGGAAGAACTTGTCTGATGACAAAGTAAAGGTCTAAAATTTTATAGGTGACCTTTAACATGCAGTTTTAGTAGAATAACAAAAAATGTACTCACACCATCCACAAGGTTCACCACCGACTTAGCAAAATTTCTTGTGTGCTGCTTGTTTTTGTGTCGTTTGTACTGCAGGTAGGAAAAAAAACAAGGTAAAAAAGGTTAACAGAGATGAACGAGCCTGTGCATGTCTTCATGATGCTCACCTGACGTGCATCATGAGAAGCTGTTTAACTACACTGCTCCCTCTTGTGGGGAAAAAAACAAGACTGAAATATTAATGAGATGCACCGCATTTCATGACATTTAATCTTTATTAACATTTCCTGTCGCAGGCCAGTTAGGATCACTGCTTTCAGACTGGGAACTGTTAAAGAAATGGTCTTATGTAGCTTACATTACTGATTTTTATTTCCTCATATTTTCAATAGATGTTTGCTTTTTCAGACTTCTTGTGTTCCCTTTAAAATGTTTTACTTGGTTCAGATGTCTCAGGAGCTGAACAGGTTTCTTCCTGTACGATTATAAAATTGTGTCTCTTCTTGTTCTTTGCTAATTATTTATCTGTTCTGCTGAATACCTTTATAAAAGTTCAAGATTGTTGTGATTGGTTAAAAAAAAAATCAATGAGATATTTTCCCATCCCAGAAGGACGACTGACGGATTATTTTACAGCGACGACAAAATGCTGTTAACACTAGTTTGTCTGTTAGCAAAATATCTAGTGAATCAGTGGACAGATTTGAATGAAACTTTCTGCAAATAAACTTTGACCTTTCATCTACAAGTGACTAACTTCCACCAGATTCAAGATGACTACCACAGCTAACTGACTTTAGCAAACACAAAAAATGGCTATAATTCACACAATTTTAGAGATACTGAGCTAAAGTTTGGTGTGTTGGTAACAGAGCTGTCCTTATCACATATTGTACACCATGAGCTAACGGATCACTCCAGCTCTTTGTTTAAAACCTTCGCATGCAAGTCAGTGGAAATGTTAAGTTTCACAATAACATATTTTTAGTGGCACATTTTTTGCACATTTTGTTTGCTTCTAAGAATCAAAAAGTGCCTTCTTCCATGAATGTTATGACTGGTCAGCATGTGTATACTTGTGATTTATATTGTAGATCAACAGTTAAAGACAATAAAATATGTTAGAACAGACATTCAAGTGGTTGCATACAGAGGAACACACACCATACTGTGGTCTGTGACAATCATGACTTCCAAATACTTCGTCTCCTCAAATACGCTGCGGGGCATCTGCAAAACAAAACGGCAATGACGTGGAAATTGAAAACATATCATTTGAGGGCACAGCCCTACCACTGCTTCAACCAGTTGCAGATGAAATTCATGAGTAAGCACGAGGGAGGGTGAAGCAACAGTGTTGCATAAATTCAGAGGGAGGTTACGATGGAGACCTACTGCTCGCTTTTTCCTGCGCTTCAGCCAGGAGAGCTCATCGAGTTCTGAGAGCAGCTGTTCGTCATCCTCTGCAAATACACACACACACACACAGAGAAACTTTTCAACACGTTAAAGAACAGGCTCCGAGTCACAGGGTGTGGAGGTTGTAAGAGTTATGTAGGACAGCATTAATTCAGAGTTTACCGTGCTCCTCTGAATCATTGTTCAACAGAGTGGAAGCTCCTCTTCTTAGCTTGTGAGGCCTTGCAGCTGTATCCTGCAGGAGGGAAACATGCTAAAAGCTCAGAGCTAAACTTGAACAAGCAGGAAAAGACAGAGTTTTACAGCACATCATTAAAATGATCAGCGCGAGAGATCAATATTTTTTTTAGAAACAATACATAATAAAAAGCAAAAAAAATTTAAATTATTGTGAATAACATATATTAAGAACATTGATAATAACACTAGATTAACTGATACTGGAACAGGATTATGTTGCACAACCCAACTCCAAGAGTGTGTAAAATGTAAATAAAAAGGAAATCCAATGATTTTCATATCTACATATCTAACAAAGCCATCATTTATTTGCAATGATACAAAGTAAAGATATCAAACATCGTATTATTTTTAGGAAAAAATAAAGTGATGTTGAATTTTCTGGCAGCAGCACATCTAAAACAATTGGGACAGGGGCAACACAAGGATGTAAAAGTAAATGGTATGAATCAGAAACATCGGGCGGAGCATTGTGCAACTTTTCAGGTTAATTGGCAACAGGTGAATTAAGAGGACTGGGTACAAAAAGAGCCTTTTAGAAAGGCTGAATCTATCAGAATAAAAGATGGACAGAGGTTCACTAGTTTCCAAACGCACTGCAGGCCACAAAGACTGTCTATAAATAGATAAACAATTTCAGAATCAGGTTAATCAATGGAAATTTAGAAAGATTTTAAATATTCCATTATCTAAAAATCATAATATTGTCAAAAGGTAAGAAACCTCTGTGCTCAAAGGACAAGACTGAACGTCAGTATAGGATGCTGGTCATCTTTGTCAACTCTGGCAGTACTGTAGTAAAAACAGGCCTCATTCTGTGATGGACATGACTGCATGGGCTCAGGAACACTTCCACACATCAGTATCTGTAAACACAGTTCATCCATCCACTAGCTAAAGCTCTATCATGCAAAGAAGAACCATATGTGAGCACTATTCAAAAGAGGAGCCAATCGGCCTGTTATCAGCACACAGTTCAAAAGCTTCCCTTCCTGATGGTACATTTGTGCCTCTGACCTATGCAACTTACACACCTTGAAAGGCACAATCAACGCCGAAAAGAGCGTATAGTTTTTAAAACAATCTATGCTCCCATCCAGATGTTTATCTCTTTCAGGGAAAGCCTTGCCCATTTCTGCAAGGCAATGCTAAGCTGCCCACTTCTTCCATTACAGCAGCATGGCTTCATAGCACGAGTCCAGGTTTCTGTTTCAATGAGCTAAAATAAATTAATAATTGTGTCACACTATTACTGGGCAGCTAATATCAGAGCTCTACTATTCTGGTTGGGTAAGATAAGATAAGATACTTTGTAAGATAAGATAAGATAAGAAAAGATAAGATAAGATAAGTGGCTTTGGAGAGGGCCTCAATTAGATCCAGCTCCCCCTCTGCATTACTCTGCTCTTGCCTGCCCTTTAAACAATAAATATCAACCTACACTTCTAACCCAATTGTGACCTGGATGTTGAAGATTTGGAATCAGTTCAGGAGGGCATGTAACTCTACAGAGTTACTGTTTCTGGCACCTGTGTCAAATAATCATGTGTTTGCTCCCTCAGTAGATGATACAGCTTTTGATGCTTGGTTCTTGAGGGGAGTGCATTCATTGTGTGATCTCTATGTTGATGGTAGAATTGCCTCTTTTGAGCAGCTGGTACAGAAGTTGAATATTTACAAGTCACAGTATTTAAGATATTTGAAATTGAGGCATTTTGTGAGGTCTAACGCTGATCGTTTTCCTTTGTACCCCTCTAAACATTTTGTAGTTAAGATTTTGGAATGCAGGTCTGATACGAAGGGGGCCCTTAGCGAAATTTATATACTACTCAGTTCATACCATGAATCCCAGTTTGGACTCCCTTAAACTGAAATGGGAAACAGACTTAGAGGAATCTATATCAGACACAATCTGGAGAAGGATCATTAAGAATATTTACTCATCCTCAATCTTCCTGAGACATGCTGTAATTCAATTCAAGATGGTGCACCGTCTGCACAGGTCCAAAGACGAGCTGTCCAAGATCAAAGCCAACCTGGACCCTGCATGTAATCATTGTAAATAAACTCCAGCTACACTCTTGCAAACATTCTGGACCTGTCCCAAACTGTGGACCTTTTGGCAATTATTTTTGACACCTTCTCTGTAATATGTGGGAAAACTGTACCCAAAGAACCATTCATTTCACTGTTTGGGCTGGTCCCTGTGGATACATTCTTCTGCAAGTATGAGAAGGATGTGATTGCTTTTGGCTCTCTTCTGGCCAGGAGGCTAATTTTGTGCAATTGGAAGGACCCACTCCCCCCAGCATATGAACACTGGATAAGGGAAGTGATGTATTTGGAAAAAAAATCAAATATACCCTTAAAGACTCTGCAAAAATATTTTGGGACATTTGGCAGCCTTTCGTGTCATATATTGAAACTGAGTCATTACCTGTATAAAGACATTTACATTTGTGTGGTTTGATCCGGTGTGTTTATCTAAGTTCAAGTATTTATTTAAACATAGTTGTCTATTTTTTTTTTTAATTTATACTCAGCAGAGAGGTAATTTACCATAATATTAAGTTTTCAACAAATGGCATGACATTTTGAGAATGAGCCTGCTTTGTCTCTTGCAAAGAAGCTTGATACACTCACATTTATACAGTTTGACTGTAGTAGATTCCATACTTACTTAAAACCTCCTAAAGCACCTCTAAAAAACTCTAAATGTCTTATATGTGTGTTATATTTTAAGAGAAACAAAACAACAATTTTTTTTTTTAAATGCCAGGGCTGTATACTGTAAATGAGCTGTGATGATGCTGTAAGTAGGATTTGTTCATTCTAGATCAGATGCTTCTGTTTCCATCATCGAAGACACTCTGAACTCACCGTTGGTTCTTATTAATCATTAATCTTCCTAATTGTGACATTACTTCTCAGCAGATTTGTGGTCATACAATATAACTATATGACGTGGAACAAATGTCTGAGATCCAATTAAAGCACTTTGAGGAAGTTGTAACAAATAATGCAACGTGTCACACAAAGCAAGTGTCTTTTAACATCAAGTGAAATTAAGAAAATAGTGATAATACTTTTGATTACAACTATACAACCCTACAAATACATCCATTATACAGCATCTATCTAGTATGAAAGAGTTTGAGTAAAGCTTCATCACTATTCAATCAAAAGTAGCTTCAGATGCAAACAATATGCAGTCATTAGGTACGTTTTTCTCAAAGAGCAGCTGGAAGATCTGAAGAACCACATGACCGTAAGATGGATAATAAAACCCAGGGAGCTGCAAAAAACTACAACTGCAGGATTCTTGTTTATTCCATGCATCACCAGATCCAAAATATCTGACAGTGGATCAAATTTGGTTTAAGAATAGTTCATCTTTTTCAAAGTGAGAAAGAGGTTGTTCAAAGAACTATCTACAACAGGTAAGATAGTAATTGCTCTCAAGCCTTCACAAAATCCATTAACCTACAAACACACAAATGGTTTGGACTCGGTCAGTTTTACAGAGATTGACTCAAAATATGGTGAGGTAGTAGCTGAGACTGATCTTTATCTTTTTTCATAGTGCTAATAAATTAAATATTTGTTAAATTTTGTCTTTAATTTTTTAAAGACACCTCTGTTCGTCTGTTAGCAAAATATCTCATAAACACTGGACAAATTTTAATGATGTTTTCATGACATAATCATTGGTTGTATATCTGTAACTGATTAACTGCTATAACTAACACAAGTCAATATGGCTGCCGCAGCCAACTCAATTTAGTAAACATACAGTTAGCTATAACTTGGTCAATTTTACATTCATTGTGCTAAAATTTGGTGTGGTAGTAGCTGAGAGTCATTCACTGCACATACTCCAAGTGCTACTGATTGTGCAAGATGTTTGCTTAAAACTTCAGCATTCACTGTTTGTCTGTTACAAACTATCTCATGAACGAGTGAATGAATGCTGATGAAATTCTGAGAAAGTAAAGATTGGATTCAGATCTAAAATTATTTAACTTTTGGAGCCAGCACACTTCAAGATGGCCACCACAGCTCATTAAAATTAGCCAACACAAAAATGGTTAAAAGTCAGGCAGTTTTACAGACACTGACACTTGGTGTGGTAGTAGCTGAGAGTCATTCACAGCACATACTTTGAGAGGTGCAGTATTGTATGACTAAAAGCTATTCAAATTCCTCATCATAAGATAAATCTCTGGCATGAAAGGCAACGGGTGATATGCATTCCTTTAAAGAATACCAGACCTTTAATTTAACCGTTATTCAGAAAAACACAAAAAATGAAACTGCACTGAAGTTGCGTCACGCTTTTTTGATCTTACAATTAAAACGGTGGACATGCAATAATAAAACTGTAACCTAATGTCTCGTTCCCACAGCTCATTAACTTGTGCTCATGAGAAATGAATATTATTTGCGCCCGTCTCCCCAGATGGTCTCTGCACCTCATAAATGAAGCTACTGCTGAGGTTTGATTTGACAAAAATGTCACCTCAAACCATAAAAGGGAAATAATCTAGAAAGAACCAGCCCAACCCGGTGTCATTCATCACAGTTCAACTCCATTCGCGTCAACATTTCACCTATTTCCTTTAAAAACACGAGTGTCCTCCCACAGATCAGGACATCCTCACCAAAATGTCAATTGTGATATGCGTCAGAGAGATATCGCAGGAAATTCCTCTGACATTTCCTGGTTGACTGGGAATGGAGTAACTCACGATTGAATGAGTCTGGTGTAAGGGCTCGATTAGATACACATGGAGTCCGTCGTCAAACATCCCGCTGGCAGGCGAGGGAGAAAGGAAAGAGAAAACCAAGTTAGTACGGATGGAGGGGTTTAAACTCAGAGCGGTGCGTTTGACTCTGCTGTTCACTTACTGCAAACCATTGCAGGTAGATAAGGCCGCATGGGAGTTATCGCTCCCCCTCACCTGGCCGTGGTAGTAACAGTGCTCACCGCCCTGTGGGGAAGAGGACGCAGCGTCAGGACAAAGCAGCTTCATCGGACATGGTCAAAGTGGCATCATAAAGAATCACATTTGAATTAAATTTAAACGTGTAACAGCTTGTGTTACAGATGTCATGCATCTGGAGTGCATTTCTGCAGGGGGTCTCATGGATGTGAAGTTACACTGCATCGCAACTCGGCACTATTTCAGCTGATCCCCTCCTTAGGTGAGCGCAGGCCACTTTCCTCACTACAGTATATATCTTTCTACGCTTCGCCCATCTCAGCCTGCACTGATACTGCAGAGTGCTTTCCTTTCCCTCGTCACGTGACCAGTTCCAGCAGGAGGCTGCAGCGGAGTGAAACCATGCTGATTCAGCTCCAGTACGCCCAGCTCTGTGCCTGAATCAGCAGCAGCAGGATCCAGCTTTGACCACCTTCTTCTACCCCTTCCCTTTGTTCTTTAAAACCATTCTCATCATTAGTCTAAAACATTGCTGTAAATTTGGGTTAGATTCGCCAAATAAAAGTAAAAAAAAAAAAAAAAAAAGATTTGCAAAAAAAACAGCGTTGCTCTGTTTTCTTAGGTTTATTCAAATCGTATTTATTTCTTGGGGAACAAAGTGAGCATTACCTTCGATAGAACAGGTTTCCCATCTTCATAGTGGATTTCAACATAATCTGAAGACAGCAGATCACTGATAAAAACAAACATGTGGTTTAGTAAAACAGTAAAAACACAGAGAGGGCCGGTCGGCTTGTCTTTGGTAAACTCTGACTCACAGTCTGCGTCAAGACTGGGAGTTTTCCAGTAATCGCTGCTTTGTTAGCAGTTTGAGCAAGGCCACTAACCTACACAAAAGTTCCCATCTCAAAAGTGCTGATTGCAACCCATCGAGGTAAATTATGATGCATGTGCTTGGATTACGATTTAACTCAGCTCCATAGATTTGGTCGGATGAGAAATCAGTGGAAGATTAAATTATTGTGACATGCTTAGACCTTGAGTTGCTTTGTTGTGTTTATGCGAACAAAAAGTAAAATTATCCAACAGCTTCTTCTTGAAATGTCCCAAATTGGACCAGTGGCTGAGGAACGTGACAAATACAGGAACAGAAACGAGTAACACAAACTGAGAGCCGCCCGTGAGACCTAACATGATAACATGATAAATGATGAGGCCTCACCTTGAACACAACCCTCCCATCATTTCCTGCTGAGTCAGCATTCCTCACCGTTACGCCCAGTCTGTTAGCCGACTTCAGAAGACAGCACATTCTGCCATAATGGTGCTTTTCTCTCTTTATTTTTTGTTTTTTTTGTTTTCCTGGGTATAACCTTGAAAAGCAACAACGCCCTCCTCTCTGCGGGCATGTGTGGTTGCAGCACGAACACAAAAAAGAAGCAGAGCGACAGTTTTTGAGAGATGCTCAGCAGCATGCGAGCAGGAAGCGAACCATTATGAGTCGAGGAGCATCTCGGAGGTACTCCTGAGTGTGGAGCTATTTTTAGCTTTACAGATGAAGCAGGACCTAGATGAGTGGGCCATGCCACGGTGTCTTGGTGTCTCTGCGGATGTGTGTGTGCAGTACATGGAGGGATAGAGCATGAGCACCCTGAGGTCTGGATCTGCTTGAACGTCTGAAAAAGCTGTGATGGTACTTGGAGGCTATGAGAAGGGAGTCCGGCCTCGAGGTATCTCCGTCAACAGGGGGACTTTGAATGCAGCAGTGTTAGCAGAGGTGGCTCTGGGAAGCAGCAAAGAAAGAAAACCACAGGAGGTTCACCATCTGGTGCCAGATCAGATGAAGTCCTGTAGCGACACTCAAAGCTGCCCTGCTGCTCACAGACAGCAACAATCTGGGCTCTGAGTCTTCATGAAAAGGAACATTGAAGTGAGGTTGTGGGGAAAGGTTAATTAAGATCTTGCATTACTTACTGTTAGCTCTTTGAACAACCAGTTTGGAGGAGTAAAGTTTACTTCTGACCACACTGACGAGCTAACGTAGCTGAAGAAGGGCCAAGACCAAAGAGGATTCCTGCTGCCTTAAAACCAGCGTTAATCTAAAAACATTTCATAGCAATTTATGTAAACAGTAGTTTATAAACCTTTAGATTGCCACCAGTTTCTTTTTCCCTTTTTCACCACTTGCTCTCGTGCAAGACGGACGCCTTTCTTCCCTTTCCCGTCCTCCTCCTGCTTTTTTGCTCTCTGTCTTGTGTATCCGAGCTCCTATTTACACATCTTCCGAAACGTTCCCGGGATATGTGTAAACTGAGAAAACTGTCTATTGCAGCCCCCCACCTCCGCCGCCTATGCGAAAGCTTATCAGAAACTGTACCGACTGACACCAACATCTTATCAGAACCACGGCCTATCTGGAAGTGCTTCATGGACAAATCTCACCGTCTTGCCGTCAAATTCATATGTAATGTGTGTGTTTATAAATGTACTTGCTGGTAAAAAAAATTATGTCTTAAATCGTGTCCTGATAAGGACAAGGTGTGAAGAGATCTTTTTTGTAATACCACTATCCTCTCCTCATGGCTTTTCCAATCTAAAAAGAATAAGAAGTTGCGCTCCAGTAGCAGCAGCAACGTGCACTCCGCTCATCTTTCGGACGACTGTATGAACATAATCTCACTGAATTTCAGTACAATGATAATTAAGCTTATTCTGATTCTGAGTTTGACGTAATATGGTTATTTATAACTTTTCTTTGTGAGATTTCCTGTTTTGTTTTGTTTTTGGAGGGTAGTTGTTCTAGGTGTTGTGTCAAAAAAAAGCTCCCGGGCTAGAAGTGCTCTGCTTGGCTGTTACCAGGTGCTGGTGTAAAAAAAAAAAAGGCTGATGACTGCGTTAATTCATCAAACTCAAAAATCTTATGGTGCAGCATGCACTCCAGCAGGAATTGACCTTTTTACAGCTACTAATGCGCATGTGAAAAATCGGGCACCACATGCTCAAAAAGGCATTCACCTCTAGTGTTTTTGTCCTTTACACCTGCTTTTTATTGAATTTTGTATAGAAACATAATTACATATTTGTTTTATTGGTATTTAACAATCCTGCTACCTGGAAAGGAAGATGACTGTTTATTTCTCATGGTGTTTAGTTTCTGTATTTTCCATGTATTTAGTTTACTCCTGTGTTTCCAGCCACGCTCAGTATTTCCCCAGTTCGTCTCTGCTCCTCAGTCCTGCCACGCCCACTCACACCTGCACCCTGTCTCATTAGGCGCAGCTGTTCTCCATCTTCTCAGTCCATATGATCCTTCTCTTTCTCATTTCTCAACATCCGAGCATTATGCTTTTCATATAAATTCCTCTGTGTCTTTGTGTGACTCTCCATGCCTTCCTGTACATACCATGAACTCTGGAAGTTTGTCACATCACCAGATTTATGTTTTGTTTATAATAAAGTTTAGTTTTATTTTTAAATACCTTGTGTCAGTTTGAATTCTTGGATCGAACATGCCACTTCATTTTTAACCGGGCGTTGGCTCATCAGTCTGGTCAGGATTAACTTTATTTGTCCAAACTGAGGCTGTTCAAAGAACTATTTACCTTATTTTTCAGACTATAAGGTGCAATTAAAATCCTTTAATTTTCTCAAAAATTGACAATGAGCCTTATAATCAGGTGCGCGTTATGTATTAATTCTGACTGTGCTTACTGACCTCGAACTGATTTTATGTGGTTGTTGTGAATGAGTTGAATAAAGTTTGACTTATCTGACTGTTTAGTTTCACTTAATGCACCTTATGTATGAAAACAGACCCGTTCATTGATATTGCGCCTTATAATCTGAAAAATATGGTACAACAGGTAAGATACTAACAGTTCATAACATTTCCACCAAGCACCACTTCAAAGTATCTGAACAATCCCTATGGGAATGTTTTAAAGAAAGGTCAACAGCGAAGCACTATTTTACCTGAACTGACCTTTAAGGCAAAATATATGAAAAATATTTAACAAAAACTTAACACAAATTATATATATATATATATATATATATATTTACTGATATTTAATCCCAATTACAGGAAGAGGTGAGCAGATAAAGAAGCAACCACTGGCAGCCTCTCTATATTTAGCTCCGAACTGTTGCAGATACAACACTAAGCAGAATTCAAACCGCTGTTCTCACAAAAAAAAAAAACAAAAAAAAACAGGCATCTTGCAGATAACACATGCAAACAGCTGGGAATCAAGGTCAAGCCTTTTTTTGTTGTTATTGTCTCTAGATGCTAAAACTATCTGCAGAATAACATTTGTTAAGCGGGATGTACTGTGTGGTCTAGTCCTCTGTTAGACCCTGGGAACAAGCTGAGAAAGTTGTATTTCTGCTCCTCCACAATGTGTGACCTCCAAATAAATACATTTAAAAAAAAGACAAGTTGCCTTTAAAATGGTTGTTTCATCAGAACGTGTAACCGAAGCTGTAAGATGTGATATTTAAGCTGTCCATTACAGCTTAAAAGGAACATTTTATAAGAAAACAAGGTTTAAAACTCCATAAAGTCATCTGAAATATGTGATCTGACAGGAACTCTGGAATAAATCAATATCATGGTGGACATGATGTCTGACCACAGAGCGGTTGTCTCTTTGCATGCCTATAAAGATGTCTCTGTGGATGCATGATGGAGAAGCAAAAACTGCTTGCAGCACAGCTCATGCACTGAGTTGCACATTCCTTCATTACATTATCATCAACTTTAGTCATACTAATTACTGAACTGACATATTAACACATCATCTACTGATGGACATCAGTTTAGTCTCCTTAGCTGTTCACCAAGTCTAACTCAATGCCCAAATTCAAACCTCTGTATCATGACACAAACATAATAGTATTTAGTATTTCTTATTATTTTCTTCCTTTTGAAGTCTTATTCAGTAATATATAATTCCAAAGTGCTTTAACTTTTACTACGTCATACATTTTGCAAAGCTGAACTACACTAAAACCAGTAAACATTTCCTTTTAATGTCTCAATATCTAATTTTTGCACCTGTTAAAAAAAAAAAAGTCAGTGTGATTACTGTGGCAGAAATCTTTTATGGGAGGATGCTCATCAATACTGACTTTCAGCAGATTTAAAATACCTACTTGCAGCTTTCAACGGTGTCCTTAACAGCAGAAACGATTCTGAATAATTAAAGAGTTTTTTGTGTCTCCGCTGATGTGTTTCCCATAAATGAAGCTCTGAAGCGGAGGAGCGGTCACCCCTGCTAGTATTCATGTGGCTGTGACTTTCGAACATTCTGAGTTGACTGTTTTGTTAATTCTCAAATACAAATGTTATATTAAAATGAGGATATGTTTCTTTCCTGCTTCACTGAAAGGCAGACGATTGTGTAATTGCCTGTATCTCTGTGCGTATGTTCAATTGGCTAGGTGTTAGCAAAATATCTCACGGATGACTAAATGTATCTTAAAGAAGCTCTCAGAAAATAATCACTGGACGTCACTGCCACAGCTTATCAACCTTAGCAAACACACAAATGACAAGAACGCAGTCATTTTTACAGATGAGCTAAAATTTGGCTTGGTAGTATCTGAGAATGGTCCCCATCACAAACTCTGAGCCCCATTAGATCTCATAAGATCTTTGCTTAAATATTTGGCATGCAGCAATGCTAGTTCCATTACTAAGAAGAGCTTTATTTTTTTTTTTATAAACAAAATGATTATGGTGTAAAACGAAAAGTAATTCTTGTTTACAGTGTGTCCTCTCTCAGCTTCCGTACTCTGCCAAATTTGCACACAATTTGAGCTCTCCATGGCTTCACAAGCAAAAAAGTGATTTTAGATATTCTGTTTCAAGGATTTGCACCAGATTCTAATAAAACCTTGTCAGTTTGACTCCTCTGTAACGTGATCCCGGCTCCTCAAAGAGATTAAAAGCACAAGTCTTCACTCGATGAGCAAAGAAGCAAAGATTTGTGTGAAAATAATCATTTGTAACACAGAGCACTACTGTATGAGATGAAGAAACTTACTTATTTAGTTTGAGATCCAGAACAAACATGGAGCCAAATGCTTCTAAATGGAAACTGACTTGGGCGAGGTGGACTGGCTGTAGGGGAGACAAGAGTCCAGTTTTAACATCATCCCACCGAGAGCTATTCATAGTTACAGTATAGAAGAAAGGACCTATTACAAAGGCCTAACAGTTTCTCCATCCTGGTTGAGCTTACCTGGTCTGAGGTGGCTTGGTTCTTGGCCCGAGTGCTGAGGTCATGGTAGGTGCTCTCTGAGTCCTCATTCAGGTAGTAGATGAGGCGTGAGGGGTACGTGATCACGTGCTCCTCTTGCTGGGTTGTGTTGTCTGTGGCAGGTGCTGCAGTCGCCTGTTGCTCCAGCAGTGCTTGTTCTGCGTCCCTCTCAACCTTGTCCTCGACTCCTTGTGAAACTGCAAAGAAATGTCCACCATAAAGAGATCAAACAAACAAATAAAGGAAACATGGTTAAGGTGTCTCCATCTTGATCACAGAGGAGATATTCTGTCAGAGCTCGGTTTCATATTAAATATGGCAATCTGGGAATTCTGGATGCAGAATTTCACTGATTTTTTTGTCTCTTTCTTTTTTTGTTGTTGCAGATTTAACTCTTTTAAATCCTATTAATTTAAACAGATTGACAAAAACCCTTAAACAGTTCCAGTACGTGTTCATTATAAGGTGGTAAACACCCCTATCTGTGTAGTATCTGAACAAAAGGTGCTGTAATCATGCAGCATCACGTTGGAGACACCACATTAAACTGAATAATTCCCTGGGATTTAAAAACGTGGACATTTAAGCTAACTCGGCACCATAAGGACACATTTTTATCCAAACAGAAACAAAGAAGTGACAAAAACCCCGACACGAGGTGAAATCACATCAAGCCCGTGCGCTGTTACAACACGTACCGGATGAGGCTAGTGATGGATGGAGCCCAGGCGAGAGGACGCTGGCGAGCAAAGTGGGCAGAAATATCAAATGCATGATTCATATTTGATAGCGGAGAGATCCAGATGTCCTCACAACAACAACGCTGTTAATGATGGCTCGCGGCCCATCGTGGCGCGGGAGGTGCCGTGTTGGGGTGGAGGTGGTGGGGAGGGAGAGGAAGGGAGGAAAGCTTTCTTCATGGATCCATCCAGGAGACTCTGGGCTCTGATGCTGCAGTGTAGCGACTCAGGAGGAGGAGGAGGAGGGGGAGGAGGAGGAGGAGGAGGAGGGGGAGCCAAAGGAAGGCGGTGGTCAGGCTGGAGCAGCTGACTCCTCCTCAGTGATGTTCCTCCTCACAGACAGACACAGAGGAAGAAATCAATCACACACCAGTAAATATCCTGTACCAAATAAAACAAAGGTCCTAAAAAAAATCCTGTCAGATCCATCCATCCATCTATCCATCCATCTATCCACCTGTCTAATCCATCCATCCATCTATCCATCCATCTATCCACCTGTCTAATCCATCCATCCATCTATCCATCTATCTATCCACCTGTCTGATCCATCCATCCACCTGTCTGATCCATCCATCTATCCACCTGTCTGATCCATTCATCCATCCATCCATCTATCCATCTATCTATCCATTCATCTGTCTGATCCATCCACCTGTCTGATCCATCCATCCATCTATCCATCCATCCATCCATTCATCTGTCTGAT